GCGGCAGCCTCCAAGCTAGCCGAGCTCCTAAATTGAAATTCCAATCCTGTTTAAAATAAAATTAAACAAACAAAAAAGAACCGTCTCCCCCGAATGATCCAATTTTCTCCAGCCATGTGTGAGAAAAACACTGATGCCCTTGGGGGGGGGGGGGGCAATTCTGAGGACGGTCGATAGTCGTGGAGATTAATTTGCACTCGCTGACACAAAACTATTCAAAACTGAAATTAAAAACTATCACTCACGATGCCTCAAATTTCTATTCCGGGAGCACAAGTGAAGAAAAAACAAACAATGATGCTTGCAAACATGATGGATCACGTTTTCTTTCTCGATTCTAAGACTTCCCAGAAAGCGAGAAAACCACCAATCACTCACGTAACCGTCCGGAAGGCAGAATGCCAACGCTAATCAGGCAAAAGCAGCCGAAAACAACGTAATGAACGCACGCACAAAACCGAGAGCAAAATTAAAACACCACCGTATCCGAAGGGATTCGAAACTCGGCTCCCAACGATCTAACTTTTAACTGTGATATTGTAGAAACTTCATGTCTTAAGAAAAGTTGTTTATCTTAAAAAATGAGCTTCTCTTCTCTAGACACCAAAGCTCCACAGCCTGTCGTTTCCGAATTATTTAGAAATTAATTGGTTAAAGCATGAAATCGTGAATAAAATCTTCGTTATATTTTAATGTTTTCATATACAACGATGCAAACTTTCATTTGCTCACCCGAGTAGCACATTTCCATCACAATAAGTTGCAGCAACTTGTTTATGACTGATATAAGTTGTATAGAAGTTGCTACAACCGATTTGTGACAAGCGTGCTACTAGGGCATGTTGTAGATGCATAACAATTTGAACTCTTGCTAAGGAATAATAATCAATCGCGCAAAGTAATACCATAGAGGTAACTCTAAGACTAGAAGGTCCCGAAGAAACGTCCTCAACTTTTTGGCTCAACTCTGGTACTCTCTTCGATCCCAAGCTAATCGCCCGAGTAGCACAGTTTCATCACAATAAGTTATAGCAACTTGTTTATGACTGAAATAAGTCGTATATAAGTTTCTACAATTGATATGTGACAAGCGTACTACTAGCATAGAGGTTACTCTAAGACTAGAAGGTCCGGAAGAAACGTGCTCAACTTTTTGGCTCAGCTCTAGTACTCTCTTCGGTCCCAAGCTAATCGATGCACCCGTCGAAACATAGGAAAATCCACGAACCCCTCATTTTATCTGTCATAGCGAATCAAAACAAACATAGTGTAGTACTAGAATTTTGACTAGAATGGGGTAAGTTACTGGATTTGCTTGGGACCAATAGGCTAGTAGGTAATGCCAACCGGTGGAAACTAACAATTTTAAATTGTCTCACTACTTGACTATTGGCTCCAAAGCAAATCGATTAACGTATCCCATTCTGGTCGAAATTCTAGTACTACACTTTGTTTGTTCGTGGATTTTCCTATGTTTCGAGGGGTGCATCGATTGGCTTGGGACCGAAGAGAGTACCAGAGCTGAGCCAAAAAGTTGAGCAGGTTTCTGTAGATAATATATGTTGATAATAAATTAAAAGTAATAATAGTTCTAGTGTATTCAAATATAATAATGCATGTGATAATAATAAACGTGTGTAGCCTAGTAGCCTGCTACCTCAAACAGAATGTGAATAAAATAAATAAAACAAAAGCACTTAGCTCTCAGAAACGCGAGAGTGTGAGAGTGAAAAGGAGAAATAAAGCGAAAGCACTAATCTCTCAAAAGCGCTAGAGTACGTCTCTGAGAGAAACATGTAGCTAAAGCATCGCAAACGGGAAAGCTTCCATGGAAATTGAGAGCTGAGAGAGGATAATTTGATCAGTTTTGAGACAGACGTGAACAAGAACAGTTCAGTTCAGTTGTGTGCATCAATTTACAGATTGAAAAGATGGAGAAATCTGGGAAATCCGACAGTTTCTTCGGTACCTTCTGGTCTTAAAGTTACTTCTATGGTAATACCACCTTCAGACAAAAGATATAATGCTGATTTGATTGATAATGCTGTTATTTGTTGTCAATTGCGGATAACCGAGTAAGACCTGCATTGCAATCATGTTAGATGATGCAAATGATTTAAAATTAAACTACCATAATGAAGCAGATATCTTATCTATTTCAAGGAATAGGGGAAATGGCTCTAATGTTGGCCTATGGATCTAAGATTGGGCCAATCGCTAAAAATCTGCTATTTGTCTATTTTATCTAGATGAACGCGTCATTGGGATGGATATTTTGGGTCGCTTTTGAAAATTTAATCGATTTAGGGGCATTTAGGCCGACATTACGTCCATTTCTCCTATATTAAATTTGTTAGATACAGTGTAGTCTGTATCATGCTGTCGAAAGCGAAGTACAAATTCAATAAAAGTACGTAAACAAAAAATATAACAACATTTGTTATTTTTTTGTACACTAAATTCAGGCTCGACAATGCTTTTCGAAGGTGAGATGGGCAAGAAACTAATTTAGTTAAATGACTGAATATTTTATTGCAAAAGATACGCTGTTACCCGAATAGCGCGTTGGGTGGTGCCGTCTACCCACCACAATTTCTCGGCTGTCTTGCAACCAATGGAGCTGATTTTCTGATGAAGTTTGTGGTTTACCCTAATCACATATAAAATTAGCTGTAGGTGGACGACACTAGAAGTGTATAATGAGTCACGCCAAGAGTGAAGCCAAGTCTACCTATTGGACTGTCAAACCGGCTACCTATCGTGCAGCTCCACGAAAGGTATTGCAATGAAATATAAAATATAATCGAAGAAATGATGCAGTGAGCTCTAAATTGTCATGGGATATGTTTGGTAATGAGGATTTGTAATATTTGTTGATATAATTCGACAAAATCCCTGATAATGATAATTCGACAAAATCCCTGATAATGATTTACTAAAGCCGCTATTTTTTTCTTTTCACCCCAGAAGTCATTTGAAGTTGATGCAGAAGTCCTCTGTTGCCAAGAGAAAGGGAACGGATTCTTTCGAAAACTGTGATGCGAGTTATACTGCTTTTCTATTGACGTGACTCTTGTACGCAGACTTTAGACTGCACCATTCACTGCATTATTCGGCGGATTCCTGTATGTGTTCGCTTGTTACCCTCATTGATTGGTTTTTTTTTACTCTGCTCGAAACATAACACCACTGCGACCAGTAATTTGATCTATTGTAGTATATCCCGGCCGTGTCCTTAGTTTATTTCATATTGTATTACTCCATCACTATTGAGAAATTGTGAAGTATTCGGTTTTGATACAGTTGTCATTCTTGCCTTCATCGCAAGGAATCGATTCTAATTGAAAGGTTCCGCTATTTATACCCTTCGGAGTGTTGGAACACCCTCAAAAGGCGTGCCCCGTTGTCAGTCAAAATTGGATTCCTTAGTAACAAAAATAAGCGATGACACCGATAATGACCATGTATCAGAACCCTAGTCTTAACCACTTGAAACTAGGGAACAACGAATAGAATATTAGGAATCACATATGTGAAGACTAACTAACTCATGTTTACCTTGTTTCAAGGCAACCCGAGGACTTATCACTATCAAGGACTAAGATGTATTCCTTTGATTATTGAAAAATCATGTTCTCCTAGTTTGAAGTAGTCAAGGCTAGGAATCGGTGGTAGATCTTACATCCCGTAACGTACCAAGAAAAGGTGATCTACCCACGTTACGGGGCCATTGATTGGGTTAAATGATTGTAGCTTCATTGTACTCTACCCATAGCCAACATATCTTACCAGCTTCTAATATCTCTCTCTCATGTAGAAACACTGATTCTTTACACTCTTACCACAATCAGATGGCTGACTTATTTTTACTATGTCACCAGCAGTGCATGAAAATATCGTTTTTTGCGTGTACAAGCGAAACCTTTTTGATAAATGTACCAATCGTGCGAAAATGAGTAGAAAGTAGGTGCTCAAGTAACATAGATTAAATTGGCTGATCTTGTAAATGTAATTTGATTTTATTTTACATTATATTTCATTAATCATGTTGTGCAAAATATTTCAAATTCATAATGCGGACATAATTTGCCTTTTTATTGAATATAACTACTGTGATGACTTTATTTGTTTGCTTATTGCATATAGATTACATACCGCAGTTCAACTAAAACGATCATTTAACCGTTACGCAAAATTACTCAACAATAAACCCCACGCTATATGCGAAATCTGTCAGCACCTTTCACACTTCATTCAATTCAGTAATCCACTGATTCAAGACATTAACTGTCATACAGCATGCTCTTCAACGGCAAGCTGCCAGATTTCGAAATGCATACCACATTAAATCGTATGCCTGTGGAATTGCGACCGCAGCTCATCTTCTACTTACCTTCTCTAATTAATTATGGCAAGCCTAGGGCGCTTTACGCAAAAACAAGAGTAGAAAAACGTTGAAATTTAGCAGTAAATTTTAAAGCGCCCCTGAAACAACACTCTCAAAATAATAATAGCAATAATTGTAATCTGCTTCGATGCTTGCTAGCTCTAATTACCCTAGGCTGGGGTTTAAAACTTTCTCCTTATGCCAGTTTAATTTCTTCGTGCCTCTGTGTGTCCCATTCGGGTACGAATTTAATGCATCAGGTGACGAGCATCACCTAGCAGATTCTTTCATATGTAACATGCACATTTCGATCCTCGATGGAATGTCATTAGGCTTGGAGATTTCGCACCGGATAGGGCTCACTCTGCTGCCGTCAGCTGTTCAGCGCACTCCGTTTGCCATAATGAAGCCGCAGATCGAATCTGGTCTCAATTTCTGTGTTTTTTTTAATTCGCAAACAGATTCAAATCCACGAACGATGCGTTTCCCAGCTTAGGCAAGTGATCAGTGATTCAAAATTAAGAAGAAATACAGATTGAGGAAAACATTACGCGAGTATCAGCTGCTTTCATTACTGAAGAGAATCAGCAAAATAGCAATAATTAATAGTTTACTGAGTATGCTATCACGTCGAAAAAAGAAAAATAAACAGCTCGAAGACATGTTTGACAAGGGTAAAAGTGATTCGGATTCGTACGAGGAGTTTGAATATCTTCGCAACGAAGTCCGCGAGGGAAAAACTTCCACTCCGGTTGGTACCAGCAGCAGTGGCAGCTTCAGTCCCAGCTCGATTGGGAGCCCATGTCCCGGAAGTGTCGTGGGAGTTGCAATGAAGATTATTGGCGAGGGCAGCGCTGCTGGTGGTGGTGTAAGTTCAAGTGTAACGTATAGCAAGTGTGAAAAGTTAAACAATGGAAAACAGCAGCACCAACAATCGGTGGTAACAATGGGAACCAAAGTGGGAGTAAGCAACGGTACCTTTGCTTCCGGGGGTAGTCTGCGAAGCCACTGTTCGGAGAAGCTGAAATTGAGCTCGGAGAATGGCAAACAAGCACCGGCGATGGATGATGATCCGGACGAGATCGACGGCTACTGCCCGGTGGAGGTGTTGAAAAGTGAAGTGAATGGAGAACAGAAAACCGATATGAGCATTATAAGGTAGGCATAGGATATTGTTCAAATCCAATTAATGCAGCATGGAGTATGCATAACATTTGAGGCGTGTTCTCTTTGGAAAACATTCTTTCCATCACCGTCATTGATTTCAATTAATGCAAGCGCATATTTAACCATGTGTATATATTATTACTTTTTCTTCTGTTCCTTGAGAATTGCACTTCGTGGTTTGACTCATAACAATGGTCTCTAGACAAGTCCAAGATATATTATATCACGCGATTCTATCGTAATGAGACGTTAACCGTTGTCTGTTACCATACAATATTTCGATAATTGAAAATCACAAAGCAAAGTACCCTGCAAAAATATCGAATGATATCATTGCAAATAGAGGTGATAATTAACATCATTTCACTCAATGCCACCTAATTTTTGTAATTCCATTCGACGGAGATAAAACGAGGCCATACCTTTGACGTGTTTCAAATTTATGCGATTCAATACAAAATTCATTCTTTTTTTTTTTCCTATATAAAAATGTCTTTTAAAAAAAAAACAAACATAAGCGAAAAACAATCAAAATTTTGTAATGCACATGCTTTTACGTTGCAATTTATGATAGAAAACGCTCCACTGGTGAAGCGTTATCCACGATGGAATGCAGTGCTACTTTTCATACATTATACATTATTATTTTAAAAAAAATCTAACAGTGCTTCTTGATTCCAATTCCGTCATACGAGTTTCAATTCCGTACAAACATATTGAAACGTCATTGCATTCACTTCGGCATACGGATGAAGACAGATAAAACGGTTTCGCGGCAGTGCTGAGATTTGTCATTGACAGACTTACGCGCGATATTAAAACTGTTTTTCACATAGTCACTGACAGACTTGAAATCTTCGTCAAAGCCTCATTATTTTTCGTCAATGAAAAAGATTCAACTAGTAACAAAAAGTGTAATTTCATGCATTTTGATTCACTTTATTATCATCCAATCAGTTCAGGGCGTAGATGCTTGTTCACTTTAACGGCTACACATAATTGTTTTGCTCAAGTCACTTAATTTCGTTACAAATTCAATTAATAAAATAATCTGCACGTGTTCGTCACTGACAGCATTGTCATTGTCAATTGACTGTTAGCTCAAATGAGTGACCAAAGCAGAATTGTCAATATCACCGTGTATTGTCGAGATTTTGCAGCACTTCTTTTGCGTTGCACTTCTTTTACGTTGAGAAGAATCGATGTAAATATTCATATTATGCGTTCTTATAGATTGGCACGTTCACGTCGGAATCGTTGATAGATTTGAAGTTTCTGCTCGATTTGACGAAAATAGGCGCATATGCCAAAGTTGTTCTCTGCTCTGTAGTGGACCAAAGTTTTCCTTGAAATACTCTGATTAATCCACCTCCCGGAGACAAGTTCCTGTCTCCATCAGGGTTTCTACTACACGGAAAATTAGGGAATATTGGGGAATGCTTTTTTGGACCAGGAAAATCAAGGATTCTAATACAAATTCAAGGAAATATTCCTTAATGACAGAAAATATTAATAATTGTCACTGAGTTCTCTAGCTACAACCAAATAAATTACTGTAGTTTTAGGATGTTTGTTCATTTTAAGTTTTAAATAGATCTGCGAACTTGTGGTTGCTCAATGCTTGATGTTGCATTTTTGCAAGTTGGGCAATTTTTATTTTGAAATGATTCTGGGCAGCTCCCACACAGTTGCCATATTCCTGATTCAAACTGAGATCCTGAGGGATGATTAAAATCCGCTCCCGTAGAAGCTAGAAATTTCTAGTCTTTTTTTTCTTTTATTTGTTTTCCGTCGATCTTGTTTTTCGTACTGAGTACCAATGCTACCGACGCCAAGCCAGGGAGACTACTCCCATACCTGGACCCTACCTATCGACCCATCAACTCATGACCAACGGTTTTACTTCCCTTGATCACATCGATCAGAAATTTTATCTTTATAAATGTTACGCCTAATTGCGTCTGAAAAAAATGTTACCTTCGAGTACATCGGTGCATCTGCTCGATCCAGCTGTGTCCAATAAAGATAAAAATGATGATTTTTTCTGAATACCTTGAATACTTGTAGTTCTTGTTCCTTATTGTATTCTTAACAGTCTGATTAACTCAGATAATCAACTAAATGAGAATTTAGGAAAATTAAATGTTTTTATTGCTTAGAGTAGCACTTATATGATTGAATAAAATTTCAAATATACGTAGACAAGCATTGCATTGATAGCATATAGTGGTTATATTGAGTAGTCTAGGTCTTCATTGTAGAGCCCTTAGCTCAGTCGATAAAGGCGCAGCAAGCAAGAGCTCGGCCCGATCTAGGATTTTTTTGGGTTGGAAAATTTCTCGATTTCCCTAGGCATAGAGTATGATTGTACTTATCACACAAATATACTAATGTAAAAATGTTAGAGCTTCGAAAGCTCTCTAATAATAACTGTAGAATTACATCTAGAACAATAAGCTGAGAGTCACATTAAGCTATTATGCAATAAACAATAAGCTTCAAATACGAAGAAGAAGAAGAAGAAGAAGGTCTTCATTGTAATCCCATTAATTAGCTCGAAAAATTAGCTTTTACTGAAGTTTTGGTAAAGTGATGTTGCTGCTATTGCAATTGAGATGAAATTAACTTACAGAATTTTGGTGGTGAAAGTGCAGTTTTTACGAATCCCAAACGGACGAATCTGGCCGAGAGTTAGCGTTTGGTTATGCGTTTTATCCGGAATAATTTTCTAGTGGATCTGGGTCTCAACATGTGCTCAAGGGGAAACAATATAATGGGATTAAAGACAAGTGATTCATATGTAAGATGTAAGGGAGCAGGGTGAATTTCTGCCTCTGGCGTTGAGTTCGGAAACAGCCAGAAAAGAACTTCTAAGGGTGAGAAAATTTCTAAAGACCTCTTCTCGTATCATGGAGACAATTGAGATAAGATATGGATCATAAACTTGCTTATATGTTTAAGCGATTAACTGCAATTAGCGTGTCGATTCATGGTTGAATGGCTGGTTCTCCACAATATCGAGCAGGAACCGATACCTAATCGATTACAAATGAAAATCTTAAGATATTGGTATACTTGTGGTATAAAACTTTGTTTTGATATTATTCAGTTATCGAAATATTTTGTAAAATATCAAATGAATACCAAAATAACAAAATATGATCTATCAGTTTGTATACAATAACACCTAGGAGAGTTATTGAATTGGTATTAGAAGACCTTCAAAATAACAAACTATGGTATTCTGGCATCATTAAAAGCGTTTGTTATCCGTTTGTTATATTGTAATAACTAAATTTTTTATTAGTTCGTTATTCGTATAATATTTTTGAGGTAATATTTTTGGCATTTTACCTCTTAAGTCAGCCTCACTAATATCATATTTAGGTTACCAGTTATTTTCTTTTCATACCTGAATTTGGTATTAATAAGTTATTTTTTCCTACTCAAGATGCACTGATCAATCGTTATTTTTTATCGCTATCTCCTTTGGAACAGGAAGAAATCCGATTGGAACTGTGGTTGGCCTACCGGAACGGAGATTCCCGGAAGAGTCCCGAGCAAAATGCGTATCGATTCATGTTGACATGACGGGTTCTCGGAAATGTGGTTACCAAATTTTAAGATTAAGTGGCTATTTGAAAGGTATGTCCATCTACTATCGAACGGAACAGATAGGGGAACGACTGAACTTGGGGTTGCCTAGTTGGAACGAGAAAACCCGTCAGAGGTGGCTCTACGGGAATTTTGATTTACCGAGAAAATGGTCAATTCCTCAAAGAAGACCTATAGATTCGCGATTTTTTTTTTTCTATCACCATATCGATTCTGCTACCGAGTGGCCAAAAAACGGTCCTCTAGATATCCGGAATCACATGGAAAATGGTCAATTCATGAAAGTAGACCTGTAGAGCTTGAGCTTGAGCTTGAGCTTGATTGACCGCCCACGGTTGCTACTCTGCTACTGCCAGATCAGCTGTAATTACACAGATAAGCAATGTGTAAAAACTGGTGATCTTAAATTAGGCAACAGTCGAGTGTTCACTCGGCTGTCGACAAAAGCAGGCCACTCTCGATGTGTGCTACGCGATCGTCTGTTTTCTCGGCAGCAACCATTGTGTGGTCCTCCTCATTGTTCTTCATCAGCAGTTCTTTCGGTCGATGCGTCGTCGACTTTGGAAAGCAACCGTTTCGTGATGAATGTGTGAGTGCTGACCACGTTTTGCGTCCATTGCTGAAATGGACGCGCTCTGACCCTCGTTGGCGTACAACAATTTGCCATACAATGAAACCACTGGAAGCGGCTCCAGTTCTGATGGAGGAGGCTTTTTGGATAGCGGAAGATAAAGTGTTTATTGTGTTGTACCTTTTGACTATAGTTTTAAGATGTATTGTATAGTGACCAAGAATCCTCGGCTCTGTAAAGTTAATTCGGTTGAGCCTTATCAAATAAATTAATAAACAAAAAAAAAAAAAATTAGGCAATACCAGCGCCGGCCGCGCCCGAACACAGGTCAAGAAAGGAATGGGAAGGATTATGTTGACATGACACTCGCTTTGATGGAAACCGAGAACACCTCTGCACTTCCACGAGGAATCACTGGGATGTTGGATAAGAGGGTTGGGTTTGCAGCAGGGTTCGTTTTGGTAAACGATAAGCTGAATTGATGTCCTAACGATCATATAACGCGAAGGAGCTTGGGGCTAAGCCCACGGTCTTCTGCTCAGTAAGCAAAAACGTTTGCCACTAGGCAGACGAGCACCTTTTTAATCACCGAGTTACTGTTATTACCATGTAGTCATATTAACAAATAAAACGATTGACGAATCTTGAATGTGGATGGGCCTGAGATTAGACTCATGATGTTCTGCTCAGTAAGCAAAAACGGTTTCTCTAAGGCCACCGAGTCCCTCATATCACATAATACCGTTGCTCAAATGTGTGTACCCATTCAAACCCGGAACCAACGACAACAACGAGTTTCGCAAAATACA